TTATGTAAACAGATGCATATGAAAAATAATGTGATCATCAGCAATAGACAGCATATACATGAAAACTGCATAATGTTACAGAGTAAAATGTTGATCCGGGAAGTGGTATATGTCTGAGCAGGCTTTGGAAGTGTTGATGGAAGCGATTTACTGGATTTATGCTTTGATAATCGTACTGAATATTATCCAGATGTAGTTTTTGATAAAAATTTTGCATTTTTATGAAACCCAACTATATCAAGTGTTGATAAAAAAAAAAGAATGCTTTAAACTAGAATAACATGGATTCTTTTGTTTAAAAGTAGAGGCTCTGATCTTTATTTTGGTGTATTGCATATTCAAATATTCATACAGCAAAATATACTGGAGGCCATCAAATTTTAGTGAAAATCATCAAAATCGCTGGCGGTGGCTGGCAACTTTTTTCAAAAAATGCTGGCGAGGAAAGAGTTAAACATCTGTAATACAGAAAAAAAGTATGTTATTACTATACAAGACAAACAATACATTATTCTTTTTTTTTCATGAAAAAAATGGCCCATTAAATACCATGTTCTGTTACCCATCCCTTCTTACAAGAGAAGCAAATAAGGATCAGTTGCAACGCTACATGACAGTATATCTTGCATCTGCATTTTCTTGCACTTGGAATAAATTACGTTTGATGAGGATTTGTTGAGGATGCAGCATCAGATCTGAAAGTGCTGGATCTGAAGATGATCTACTTGCTGTGAATGTTTTTTGTATGTCTGTGTAGAGCAGATGAACGATTGAAACGCTTCCCACATGTAGTGCAGAGATACGGTTTCTCTCCAGTGTGGATCCTCTTGTGTGTTTTCAGATGTGATGACTGACTGAATCTCTTGTCACAGTGTGAACACTTATAAGGTTTTTCTCCAGTGTGAATCATATGGTGCAGTTTTAAACAGTTTGCTGAAGTAAAAGTCTTTTCACACTCAAAGCACACGTACTCTCTCACACCAGTATGTATTTTTTGATGTACTTTCAAACTTTGTAAACATGAAAAACTCTTTCCACACAAATAACATGAATGTGGCTTCTCCTTTGTATGAACTGTCAGGTGTTTCTTCAGGACTGAAGCCCACAAAAATGTTTTGCCGCATTGATCACATGTGTGCCGCTTCTCTCCATTGTGGATGTTCATGTGTCTCTTAAGGCTTGCTGATTGAGTGAAATTCTTCCCGCACTGGTCACATGTGAATGGTTTCTCTCCCGTATGAACTCTCATGTGAACATCAAGACTATATTTGCATTTCAAACTCTTTCCACATTGAATACATGTGTACAGTTTCTCTCCTGTATGAACTCTCATATGTGTCATAAGGATTCCTTTTCGTGCAAAATTCTTTCCGCACTGTTCACATGTGTACGGTTTCTCTCCAATGTGGATCCTCTCATGTGTTTTCAGAGTTGTTGACTGACTGAATCTCTTGTCACAGTGTGAACACTTATAAGGTTTCTCTCCAGTGTGGATGTTCATGTGTACCTTAAAGTTTGCTAAGAATGCAAAACTCTTTCCACATTGATTACATGTGAACGGTTTCTCTCCTGTATGAATTCTCATATGTGTCATAAGGCTTCCTTTTTGTGTGAAGAATACATGTGTACAGTTTCTCTCCTGTATGAACTCTCATATGTGTCATAAGGATTCCTTTTCGTGCAAAATTCTTTCCGCACTGTTCACATGTGTACGGTTTCTCTCCAATGTGGATCCTCTCATGTGTTTTCAGAGTTGTTGACTGACTGAATCTCTTGTCACAGTGTGAACACTTATAAGGTTTCTCTCCAGTGTGGATGTTCATGTGTACCTTAAAGTTTGCTAAGAATGCAAAACTCTTTCCACATTGATTACATGTGAACGGTTTCTCTCCTGTATGAATTCTCATATGTGTCATAAGGCTTCCTTTTAGTGTGAAACTCTTCCCGCACTGATCACATGTGTATGGTTTTTCTCCAGTGTGGATGTTCATGTGATCCTTAAGGCTTAACGATTGTGAGAAACGCTTCCCGCACTGATCACAAATGAATGGTTTCTCTCCAGTGTGAACTCTCATGTGAACATCAAGACTATATTTGCATGTCAAACTCCTTCCACACTGAGTGCAGGTGAAAGATTTATTGGCTCCTCTTTTCTTTAAATCTTTCCGTTTGGTTTGAGAGCAACTCACAGATTTTTCTCCAGTTTTGACGCGTTTCACTTCATCTTCACTCAATTCTTCGTTCTCCTCACTTTCTTCAATACAATCTAAAATAAAAGCAAAAACAGTTTGTCAGTAACTTGAAAAAAAAAAAAAACGGAAATGTGAAAGTACTTAAATGTGAACCCTGGAGTAACAGTGTGAAAACAATTTCTATACAAAATTTTGTTCCTTTTGATGCAATTATATAAGTTATACTTCCCTGAAACTTTACATGAATGAGGTACATCGATCTTCGAAATATCATTTTTAAAACATAATAGACACAAATCCCATGTTTCTATAAAGAGAAATATTAAACATGTTTGATCAACTACACAATTATAAATTTTGTTGAAAAAAGTGTCCCTTATTATTTGCTGCTCTATCTATATTATTCAACAGCTCTAAAGGTTGTTTCTATTACGACAAACTAAATCTAAGGCTGGCTGCACACTAGCCGATTTTAAGGCCGATTTGCATCCCCGAACGATCGGGGGGTGTGGCCCGATTCACGGCTTGTCGCAAACAATTTTTTGTCCAAAAAATCCTCTATTGTGTGGTGTCATAATGATTATTTATCTGCTCCCGATTGAGACGGAGCATCCCCAAACTCAAATCGTAAATACCGTATTGTCCCGAATATAAGACGATATTTTTTTCATGGAAATGCATCTCAATAAACGATGTCGTCTTACATTCGAGCTCTAGACGATTACATGTAAATAATACCGTACACCCGCAAAAATAGGTGGAGCCAAATAGCCTACAGGTAAATGAGTTCCCCTGGACTGAAGCAAACTGATAAACGATGGTCGTTTACAGTACCAGGACTGCATGATGGTGAGTGACTGTCCAGAACATAGCAGTTCAAAAGTCGGCCAAGTAAACCAGCAACTGAGGCAAGCTTATGATGCAAATTTTAAACTCATGGTGATAAATGCAGCCGAGTCATCTAACAACTGTCAAGCAGCCAAGAAATACGGCATGTCAGAATGTAATGTCAGGAGATGGAGAGCCCAAAAAGACAGTCTTAGAAATGCTAATAGTCAAAGAAAAGCTTGCCGCGGTCCTTAAAGCGGCCACTTCAAAAAATTGACCGACAAGTTTGACAGTACGTAGCCGAAAAAAGAAACGAGGGGTTACCCATAACCTTAGTCTGCTTGTCTTCAGCAAACTGTTTGCGGGCTTTCTTGTGCATCATCTTTAGAAGAGGCTTCCTTCTGGGACGACCAGTTTGATGCAGTGTGCAGCGTATGGTCTGAGCACTGACAGGCTGACCCCCCACCCCTTCAATCTCTGCAGCAATGCTGGCAGCACTCATACGTCTATTTCCCAAACACAACCTCTGGATATGATGCTGAGCACGTGCACTCAACTTCTTTGGTCTGCCATGGCGATTTTTTTTTATTAAAAGCAACTTGAGTTCACCTCTATAAGCGCATGCAGAAAAATGAAATGAAACCAGTGTTGTTGTTGTTAACTGCAAATAAAACTATTAAAGATCATTTTCATAATTTAAGTAAAACTGAAGTAAATATGAATATTTCTGAATGTCACCCAGTAGTGGAGAGTAAAACCGAAATTGCAACTAGATTTTTGTATTTTCTCATGAAAATGTAAGTGTCGTTTACTGTACAAAAATCAATGCCATAATGCTAGCCATTTTTATGGAATTCTAGGTGGTTGCTAGGGCGTTTGGGTAGTTGCCAGGGCATTTCTAGGGTATTTTGGGTGGTTGCTAAGGCATTGTTTGGGTGGTTGCCAGAGTGTTACTAGGGTATTCTGGGTGGTTGTAGGTAGGGATGTCAATTTTCGATCATTTCCATGATCGATCGTCGTTTAAATTAACGATAAATTAATCGTTAACTTTAATGCAGTAAAATGCGTCTATTGCAGCAGCACGCAGTCACTGGCATGACAGGATGTGCAAAAGCCACTCAAAAAAAACCCCCCTTTCTCACCCGAATTAAAGGGGTTTTGGTCTGAATAAAATGCTAGTAGCAGGATAGTAAAATGAATAGATGTGATTATGATCATTTGATAAAATGAAGAGAGCTCGTTTGAGATAATTTTACTTT